TGGTAAGTATTAAGGAGGAAGACAGGGTATGGAGAATAGGGGATTGGTGTTAGGTGCTGTAGAGTTGACTCATCGCGACCCTATTCAAAACAGAATGGAACACTAACACTGCCAAGTCCTGCACAATCCTCACAATTGTTATGCTTGAGCCCATTATTGTGGCCACTGTGCCAATTCATCTTATTGGGGTCTTCTTCACTATCCCTCCACTTTATCTACCATGAACTCCTCCAGGGATTGACCCCTCCTGGTAGCATGTTTAAAGTATGAGAGACTAAGTCTGGCCATCTGGCCTCTAAAGAGCATTCTGGTTGTACTTCTTCCAACACAGATATATTTGTTTCTCTGACAGTCCACAGTACTCTCAATATGCTTCTCCAACACCGTAACTCAAATGCATTGATTCTTTTACAGTCTTCCTTATTCCCAACTTTCACATGCATATAAGGCTATTGAAAATACTATGGTTTAGATGAGGTGCACTTTAGTCCTCAAATTGGTATCTTTGCTCTTGAACACTTTAAAGAGGTCTTCTGCAGCAGATTTGACTAATGTAATACTTCATTTGATTTCTTGACTGCTGGTCCCATGAGTATTGATTGTAGGATCCAAATAAAATGAAGTCTTGACAACTTCATCCTTTTCTCCATTTATCATGATGTTATTTATTGTCCAGTTGTGAAGACTTTTGTTTTCTTTAATTCTGAAGGCTTGGATCTTCATCAGTAAGTATTTCAAGTCCTCTTCAATTCTAGCAAGGTTGTATCATCTGCATATCTTAATTTGTTGATGAGACTTCCTCCAGTCCTGATACCAAATCTCAGATTATTTGCTCAGCAAACAGACTGAATAAGTATGGTGGAAGAGTCCAGCCATGGCACACACCTTCCCTAATTTTAAACCATGGAGTATTCCCTTGTTTTGCTTGAATGACTACCTCTTGGTCTTTACACAGGTTTCACATGAGCACAATTAAGTGTTCTGGAATACCTATATTTGGCAGTGTCATGAATCACATAGCCATAAGCCTTTTCATAGTCAATAAAACACAAGTAAACATCTTTCTAGTGTTCTCTGCTTTCAGCCATGATCCATCTGACATCAGTAATGATATCCTACTTGAGTTTCTGGAATTTCCCTGTTGATATACATTTGCAGCTGTTTTAAATTATCTTCAGTAAAAATTTACCTGCTTGTGGTATGACTGATATTGTCTGATGATTTCCACATTCCACTGTGTCACCTCTTTGGAATGGGCACAAATGGATCTCCTCCAATCAGTTGGCCAGGTAGCTGTCTTCCAGATTTCTTGGCATAGATGAGTGAGTACCTCCAGTGCCACATAAGTGTGTTGAAAGATTCCAGTTTGTATTCTGTCAATTCCTGGAGCCTTCAGTGCACCTTGGACATCTTTCAGTGCCATTCGTTCTTGATCAGATGCTACCTTTAGAAATGGTGGAATCTCAACCTTTTTTTTTTTTCCTCCTTCCGGGAAAAGAACTTCCGGAAAACTTCCAATTTTCTTTTAATGCTTTCTACATCATTCAATGTTTTGCTCATAGAATCCTTCAATAAATCCTTCAATATTTCAAGTTGAGGCTTGAATTTTTTCTTCAGTTCTTTTTAGTTTGGGAAGTGCTGAGTGTTTTTGGTTTTCTAACGCTAGGTCTTTGCACATTTTATTATAATAACTGACTTTGTCTTATCAAATGGCCCTTTGAATTTTTCTGTTGAGGTCTTTCCTTTCATTTCTTCCATTCTTTTTAGCATCTCTGCACTGGAGAGCAAGTTGCAGAGTCTCTTCTGATATCCATTTTGGACTTCCTGTTACTTTCCTGTCTTTTCAATGAAATTTTGCTTTCTTCCAATGTTTAGATATCATCCTACAGTTCTTCTGGTCTTTAGCCATTAGTATCTAATGCATCAAATCAAATCTGCTTCTTCCTAGTCTGTCTTAATCTGGAAGTGCCATTGAAACCTGTCTACCATGGTGACTGCTGGTTTTTAAAATACTAGTGGCATAGCTTCCAGTGTAACAGCAAAACATCAGCCACAGTTAAATGTTCTAATTTCACCATAGCATTTGAAGGACAACTTTTTGAGTATATGATTCTTGATTGGCAATTTTTTTCTTTCATAGTTTTGTATATGTCATCTCATTGCCTTATTGCCTGCATGCTGCAAAATCAGAGCTTAGTTTACTGGTTCTTCTTTGTAGGTAACATTTCATTTTCCTCTGTTGCTCTCAGGATTCTTTCCTTGATTTTAATTTTGAAAAGTTTGAATATGATATGTCTTGGTGATTTTCTTTTGTGATCTATTTGGGGTTCGTTCAGCTTGTCTTTTCATCCAATAACTTTTCTTCCAACCATTCTTTGACAGTTTTCTCTGTGCTTGTCCCACATAACTCTTAGGCTTTCTTCAGATTTTTTTCATTCTTTTTTTCTGACTGTTCTTCTAGCATGCTAGTATTGAGCGATATCTTCAAGCTCACTGATTTGGGTTTTCATTCCTTCCTATCAACTCCTTTGCCCTTTTAATCTATTGTCTGTTTCTAAGATCTTATTATTAATCTTCTAGATTTCTAATTGCAAGTTTTGTACTGTTCAAAAATTGCATTTATTTTATATGTTTGTTCTTGTAGTATTTTCCTGAATCCTTTTTAAGTTTTTATTGTGTTCTCCTTGGTTTCTTCCATCTTTCTATATTATCCTTTGAAGATACCTACTTATCATTCTTTTGAATTCTTTTTAGTTAGTTCCACTAACTTTTCTTCCTCAGAAACATTTTCTGGCTGTGCATCGTGGTCATTTATTTGAGCCATTCTCTCTTGTTTCTTTGTGTGAACTAAAATTGTCTGCTGTTTCCCAGGCATTGTAGGATTGGGGTATTTATAGAAACAAACATTGCAGTTATTATCCCAGAGGAGAGAAACCTCTGGGCTTCTTGTAATTCAAGGTGCTCATGAGGTGATTGTGGAAGGGATGTAAGAGCAGAGTTTGTGACCCTAGATGGAGTTCCTATTGGCCTAGGTGTTACCTATTTTCCAGGTACTTAATCTGGAAGTGGTTCATGGGGCCCCTTGATGGATCTGGTTTCAGTGTCTGTTAGGACCATAGGGAAGCTGGGAGCAGTGTAACTAGTTACAGCCAGCCCCCGCTTCACTCTGGCATGACTCCCAACCATGTGATCCGAACTACCAGAGAGCAGGGTCTGCACTGGGGGTGGATGACTTGGATGAGTGTGGGAGCTAACACACTCTGGTCACTAGGGGTGTGTGGGGTAAAAGAAAAATCTCACCTTTTTCATTGCCTATGCAGATCTGCTCTTCCAGGCCTCCTCCACCGCCAAAGCTGCTCACAAGATGGTCAAGCTGAGTCTGGTCAGCTGTTTACCAATCAGCCTCTCTCTCACATCGTCCCTGCTTGGTCTCTCCTCCCAGAAATCACTCCATCCCTTTATCTAACCTTTTTGTTGAACTTCATGGTGCCATAATTTTCATCTGTGTCTATTTTATTTTGTCTCTTGTATCTTCGTTACAGACAGTCCATACAGTACGTCAGCCTAGTTAGTCAACCATCTTGCTGGGAATCTCTAGGCTATAAGTCTTGACAGGAGCAGATCACTAGATCTTTCCTTCTGAGGAGCCACTGGTGGGTTCTTAGCCATGGTGCTGTCAGTGTTCGCTTCTGTTCATATAAACATACTTCAAATTTCCAGTGACTTACTATGATAGAAACGTATTTCCCACTCACAGTCTGATGCAGGTGAATTCGGTTGGTGGGTGACTTTCTTCCTTGCAATGATTCAGGGACCCAGCCTTCTCCATATGATGGCTCTGCCATACCATATGATGCTTTGAAATCTTTCAAGCAGAAGGGGAAAAAGAGGGTTAAGGTAGTCACATTCCTAACTGCTGTGGTCTAGAAGGGATAGACGTCACTTCTACTCACATTCCATTGATAAGACCTAGTCCTGCTCCAGCCTAGGTACAAAGGAAACGAGAAATGGAAGCTTTGTTTAGCATCTACCTACCAGCAACAACGCCTAGTCTGGAAAGACCAGCACGATGTTTTGGGGATAGTTAGCCTATTAGGTAAGCAGAATAGGATTCTGTCTTGTAGATTAGGAAAAAAGTACTTAAAAGGTTATGATCCCCAAGAGATAGAACAGCTGAGGACTCTAGATTCACAGAAAAAGAAAGGCTGTGTGCTGGCGTCAGTAGGCAGATTTGCAAAATGTGCCCTTAGGTTTTTTAGATGATTATGTATTCCTGAGTATTTTAGTGTACATAAAAAAAAGAAGAAAAAGAAAAAAACCCCGAAAACAAAAACAGAGGGAATAAAAGTAAATGCTGTTTAATGGTGATGCATGGAGGGGATTGTAATCATTGCAATGATATGAAATATGACAGGCTGTGTGCAAAACTGATGTTCTCCCATGTAAATTATCACTCAATGCACAATAAAAGCTAAACAAACAAACAAAAAAAAGTTATGATCCCAGAGATAGTTAGGTGTAGAAATGAAATTTAGAAGCCAGACTCCTGACTCCTATTCAGCTACTCTTTCCTTCATATTTCAAAGTGATCCTAACTTGGTTTAAAATATAATCCTATTGCGGAGGACCCTGGGACCATAAGGGAGAAGAGCAGGAGCAGAGTGTGGGATCCTATTCAGAGAAGTGGCAACGCCATAGATGAAGGCAGAGATGATGATGTGGAAGGATAGAGAGGCTAAGGACTCTAGACTCATGGAGGGAGAGGGGCTGTGTGCTGGCGGCTGGGGGGCAGGGTGTGCCCTTTAGGTGTTTGAATGATTGCATATTCCTGAGTGTTCTGGTATACATAAAAAAAAAACACATCAATATCAAGCACACAGAAAAAATTATTTATATATATATAATCCTATCTGAATAGAGTCTTTTATTTAAGATACAACTATTTTAATTGCATATAGTAACTTTTTTGCCCAATTCTTCTTTCCTTTAAAGGTGTGGCAATGTCCCTTTATTGTGGAATAGTTTGCAGGAGAAAATCTTTTTGGTGCTCTAGGCTGCTGTCAACCTATGTCACTAAGACAAGGTGAGTTCTGACCATCTTGAGCTCTAATAATTCTATCTTTGGCTCATTAAGTGACAAAATACAAATGATTTAGGAATACCACAATAAGGACTAAGGATATAGTATCAAAATTTACTGATAAATGAATTTTCATTATAAATTCTACATAAAGGGAAAATATGCAAACAACCTATATGTCCAATAATATCTAAAATGTCTCACACACTTGACTATACACTCTATTAAGAGAAGAACTTTATCTTTCCCAATATGACACCCCTAGTGCATGAAACAGTACCTTACATGTTAGTAGGTAGTGAAATATTGTTGAATAAACGAATAATAAGGGAGGAATTAAATAAATTATGGTATATGATAGAGTAATAAACACACTATACACTAGGTTGGATGATTTTTCATGAGGATTCTTGGAAATGAGGCAAATAATCCTAAAACTCTCAGAAGAACTAAACTTCAAAAATCTGAACCAACAGGGAAAAATAAAAAGGTTTTCTTTGTCTTAGCCTGGGGACAAAGTTCTCCTGTCAATTGGAAATCACTAGCCTTCTTTCAGATGGTACTGAGGGTTACATTGCTGCCACATACGTAGTATGGTCTAAGAACTCCTGATCGAAGAAGTGAAGGGAAGAACATGCCCAGCGTTTCTCAAGCTGAAGCCCTTGTGTTGCAATACTGAAGGATCCTATGGGCAATATAAGGAGCTCTGGTAGCATAGTGGTTATGAATTGGACTGCGAACTGCAAGGTCAGCAGTTCGAAACTACCAGCTGTTCCGTGGGAGAAAGATAAGGCTTTCTGCTCCCGGAAAGATTTACAGCCTCAGAAACCCTGTACAGGGTCGCTATGAGTCGGAACCGACTCCACAGCACGTAACTACCACCACCATCATGGGCAATATGGAGTCCTGGTGTGGTAAACTTTGGATCGCAAGGTTGGCAGTTCAAATTCACTAGTCACTCCTCAGAAACCTTATATAGGGATTGCTATGAGTCAGAAATGGAGCTCTGGTAGCGTAGTGGTTACGAATGAGGCTGCTAATCTCATGGTGAGCAGTTTGAAACTACCAGCTGTTCTGCAGGAGAAAGATGAGGCTTTCTGCTTCCGTAAAGATTACAACCTCGGAAACCCTATGCAGGGTTGCTATGAGTTGGAACCGACTCCACGGCACATCACAACAACAACATGAGTTGGAAATGACTCAATGGCACTTAACAACTACAACAACAAATAGGCAATACATTGAGTGATGGAGGAAGCATCAAAGGAAGGAGGTACAGGCAAGATGGAAGACACACTGAACTGACCTTCTTCTACAGAGTCCTGGGAGACTGAATGAACCAGATACAGATGGTGATCCTGGGACCCTGAGTTTCAGAGGATAAGACATAGGTGTGGAAGAGGAAGCTTGAAAGGAGGAGTGGAAGATGAAAACCGGATGGCATGGAAAGGTGCAGCCATCTTGAGCTTTTGTTGTTGTTGTTGTTGTTAAGTGCCGTTGAATCAATTCTGACCCACAGCATGAGCTTTTGTAAGTGGCTGTTAATACAGCGACCTTCGGGCATAAGACATGGCTGGAGGTTGGTGGCAAAGGTGTGCAATTCTCCCTTGTTCCCATGCCCTCCTGGTAGATGGGGCTATAGACAGTCCCTGCACTTGCCAAGTCAGAACCCCCCTCCTGTGCAACCTCTGCTCTGCCTCGGGTCAGGCACTGGACATAACACCCCTGCTTCTAGAGGCATGTGATCCTCCTTGAACTATGCCACACAAACAGTAAACAGAGAATTAACTGCGTTCACACTTCAGGTCTCTACAACATCAACCAGGAGACAGTAGTGAGTCCCTGAGAATACACCAATATACAATCATCAGCTAAAATATAAAACTGACATCACAATCTCAATTTCAGCTTACACAAAGAAACAAAACAGAGTGACAAACAAGTCACCAAAGTACAGAATCAAAAAATGTAACACCAGAAATTATATCGAGACTACCTGGTAAGGAATTTAAAAGAATGCTAATTAGGAAACTTTAATAGAGTCAGAGAAAGATCAAGAAAACTGCAGATGAAATCAAGGAAAAACTTAGATGTTAAAAGCCCTTGACAGCAACAGAAAAAACATGGGAAATAAAAGCAAAATAATCCAGAGAAAGCCTAGTATTTATGTGGGATGCTATTAAGAGGAATAACTTACATGTGATAGGCATTCCAGAAGGGGAAGAGACAATAAACCCTACTGAGACTATTGTCCAAGAGTTGAAAGAAAAATTCTTTAACTTCATGAAAGACGAGAAGATAGTCATTCAAGAAGTTGAATAAACTCTGAACAGGATAGAACCCACAAGAAAACACCAAGATATATTATAATCAAACTTTTCAAAACCAAGACAAGCAAAGAATCCTGAGAGCAGTTGAGGAAAAATGACAAGTTACCTATCAAGGAGAACTAATAAGACTAAGCTTTGATTTCAGCAGAAACCATGTAGGCAAGAAAACAGTGGCATGACATATATACAATTCTGAAAGAAACAAATTGCCAGCCAATAATCATATATCCAGCAAAACTGTCAATCAAATATGATGGAGAAAATAGGTCATTTTTAGATAAACTGAAATTAAAGGAATTTGTAAGAAAAACCATACCAACCTTACAAAAAGTATGAAAGCGAGGTCTTTGGACAGAAAACTAACAACAGCATACGACAATCTGAGACATGATAATATCACCTAGATTCAACCCAGATAAACTGTGCAACTCAGATATAGAAGTATGCAAAGTAAAACAGACCTGGAAGACTGAATATAGAGAAACAGAGATACAGTTTCAACAACAACAACAAAAACATGAAGTAAAAAGTTAGAATAATCCAGTAACTGAACTCTCAAATGAAGAGGAAATCAAATAGATTTCAAGAAAAAATCAAATAAATAAAAATAAAGCTAATTGTAACTCTAAAAACTAGACCACACATTCCTAGCTCTAAACCAATACACTCACCCGTAACACTAACCCTAGTTCTAATCATAACTCTAACAATAAGTGAAATCCTAGACCTACCCAAGACCTAGCCATAGTCCCAACCCTAACCCTACTGCTTACTTATACTCACCCCCACCCCCACCCCCAAAAATAATAAATAAATAAAAGAGGATGGAAGGAATACAAAGAGTAACTACCAAAATGAAGTGGTCTGTGTTCAACCATTTCAAGAGCTAGCATATGATCAAGAACTGATGGAACGGAGGGAAGAAGTCTAAGTCTAAGCTGCACTGAAAGCATTGGTGAAAAACAAGACTCTAGGAATTGACCGAATACAAACTGAAATGTTCCAACAAACTGAAGGCATGCATTTGTCTATGCCAACTGATGAGAAGAGATCCATATTTGTGTCCATTCCAAAGAAAGGTGACCCAACAAAATATGGAAATCCTAGAATAAAATCATTACTAGTGCATGTAAACAAAATTTTGCTGCAGATAATTCAAAATTATTTGCAGCAATACATCACTAGGGAGCTGCCAGAAATTTAAGTTGGATTCAGAAGAAGATGTAGAATGAGGGATACCTTTGCTGAAATCAGATATACCTTGGTTAAATGCAGACAATACCAGAAAGATGTTTACTTGTCCTGTACTCACTATGCAAACACATTTGACTATGTGGATCATAACAAAACTATGTCTAACACTGTGAAAAATGGGTATTCCAGAACACCTAATTGTGCTCATGAGGAATTGTACATAGAACAAGAAGAAATTATTCGAACATAACAAGGGGATACCGAATGGTTTATAACCAGGAAAGGTGTGCTTAAAACCAGGAAAGTTGTGTGCCAGGGTTATATCCTTTCACCAAACTTATTCAATCTGTATGCTGCGCAAATAATCCTAGAAGCTGGATTCTATGAAGAAGAACATGGCATTAGGATTGGAGGAAGAGGCATTAATAGCCTGCAATATGCAAATGATACAACATGGCTGGAAGCGAAGAGGATCTGAAATACTCGCTGATGAAGATCAGAGACTACAGCTTTCAGAATTGATTGCACATCATTATAAAGAAAACAAAAATCTTCACAACTGGACCATTATAAATGGAGAAAATATTGAAGTTGTTTGAATCCACACCAATGCTCATGGAAGCAACAGTCAAGAAATAAAACGACGTATTGCATTAGGCAGATCTTTCGTGGAAGACCTATTTAAAATGGTAAGGAGCAAAGATGTCAGTTAGGACTAAGGTGGGCCTGACCCAAATCATGGTATTTTCAGTCACCTTATATGCTTGCAAAAGTTGATTAATGAATAAGGAAGACTGTATAATAATTGATGCATTGGTAGTATGATATTGGCAAAGAATATCATAAGTATTGTAATCTGCTAGAAGAACAAACAAACTTGTCTTGGAAGAAGTATACCAGAATGTTGCTTAGAAGATAGAATGTTCTAGTGCTTTGGACTTGTGGTAAGGAGGGACTAGTGCCTAGAGAAAGTCATCGTGCTTGGTCAAGTGAAGGGTCAGCAAAAAAGACTAAGTCCCCCAATGAGATGAATTAGGTTCAAATATAACAATTGTGAGGATAGTACAGGACTGGGCACTGTTTAGTTCTATTGTGCATGGGTGCCTATGAGTCGGAACTTGGACTGATAATATCCCTACGGCACCTTGTAGAAGCAAATGTAAAAGCTCTCTGGAGAGGCAAACCAAAACAACAATGAGATATCATCTCACACCAGAAATAACAGTGAAGATCAAAAAAGTAATGGACAATAAATGCTGGAGAGGATGTGGAGAGACTAGGACCCTCGTACGTTGCTGGTGGGATTGCAAAATGGTCCAACCACTCTGGAAAAAAGTATGGCATTTCCTCAGAAAGTTGGAACTAGATATGCCTTATGATTCAGCAATTCCTCTCCTTGGTATTTATCCACAAGAAATACGAGCCATAACATGAGTAATACATGCACACCAATGTTCATAGCAGCACTATTTACAATAG